TGATCTTGGCTGGACATTAACTGCCCAAAGTTTCTCCAGCCCTCCTCTCCTCAGCTGAGCAGGCAAGAGAAATCACAGCCAAAGGCTCTTGGGTTGGGAGAAGGACAAGAAGAGCTTTCTGTTGTGTACCATACAGAGTCAACTCATGGAAATTAATTTAATTTATTAAGTAAAACACTAATATATTAATCAAATCTAGGGGGGTAATGAGAAGTAAAACCTAAACCTTAAAACACCTCCCTCCCACCCTCCCTTCTTCCCATGCCCAACGTCACTCCTGATTTGGCTCTACCTCCTGTCCCAGCAGTGCAAGGGGTCAGGGAATGGGGGTTGCAGGCACTTTATTATCACACGTTGTTTCTGCTTGTCTTTCCTTCTCTCCTTCCCCTGCTTCATCATGGGGTCTCTCCCATGGGAGACTCCTCCACAAACTTCTCCAGGTTGGTCACAGCCATCCATAGGTTGCAGTCATTCAGAAACAGCCTGCTGCAGCATGGGTCACCCGTGGACTCCCAGGTTTTACCAGCACAGGTTCCTCTCTCCACAAGGCCACAGGTCCTGCCAGATGCCTGATCCAGACACACCAAGGAGACACTGCCTTCTTTGGATGCATCTGCTTACTCTCTAGCAGGATCCTCCATTAGGGGAGTATCTGCTCCACTATGGACCCTCCCACAGGCTGCAGGGGAATCTGTGCTCCAGTACCTGGAGCTTGTCCTTCCCCTCTTTCTTCTCTGACCTTGGTGTCTGCAGGGGTGTTTCTCTCATATATTCTCATTCCTCTCTCCAGCAGCTGTTGCCTAGCAGTTTTTTTCCCTCCTTCTTAAATGTTATCCCAGAAGCCTTGGCAGCAATGACCTTGTAGCAATCTTGGTTACAGCTGGAATAGGCTTTGCTGAACAAAGGGGAAGCTTCTTGCAGTTTTTCATGGAAGCCACCCTTGTAGTCCCACCATTGCCAAAGTTTTCCAAAGTAAACTTAATGCAATCACACAAAATTATTCAAACTACTCTTTGCTTAACACTAGATATAGCAGTACTTTGCACATTAGGTGCATGGATCTGAATCTTTCTCCAAAGTAAAGATTAGGTAATCAGAAATAGAAATTATATGTCTTTGAAATACTGATTTGTTAAATTATGTTTATTTATATGCTTACACAGTTGGAAATATGCAGAAAATAATGATTCTGAGCATGTAGAGGAATGTAAAACTTATCTTAGCAGTTTAAAGTTGCAAGTTGAAGCTCTAAACTGTGAATTTCAATCTGTCAGTATCATACAATTGAATCTGTGTCAGTAAAACGTATGTATGTATGTATGTATATATGTACATATGTATAGAACACAAGTCAGCCAGAAGAACAATCGCTGAATGCACAATCTGAAGATAAATATATAGTCAAGAGTCTGAAGTGATAAAAGCTCTTAGGGAGTGCTCACTTTTGCAGGAAAAGAAAGACAATAATTTTCTAATTATACAGTAATTTTTATGAACCTAAATGGATAGTAAATACTGCAAATTTCTCTATGACCAAATGACAATTATGTTTTATATTTGAAATAGTCATCAACTGAAGCAGGTAATTAAATTGACTCATCTGCTTTCATCAAATTTGTAAAACTACATAATAAAGTCAGTCAGAAACATTAATTTGGGGTATACGTTGTTCCCTGGAAATTGCTGAAATTACATTTTTTATAAATATATATGTGGGATTATTCATGTATGCAGAATCCAAAGAACTTTGTATTAGGCAAATTCATTTCAGCAATGTTAGCCCAGATGACAGTCATTGAAGGTCTCTGCCTAGGTTTATATGAAAGACTAGCCTATCCCACCCCAAACCAGTCATAACACAGGCTGAGTCTGGCACCTTTCACCACAATATTCCTCTGATGCTGAAGAAAGGCAGGAACACTGTGACTAGGGTAGACAAAAAGGGTGTAGTGTAGCACAGTGGCATGTGTGTAAGGACATTTCTTTGAAGAAGCAGCATTTCACTAGCTGTGTGGACAGACTTGAAGTCCACATAACCCAGTAAATGGGCACCCTTCTGTAACCATCTGCACAGGCCAAGGGCACTACCTGACCCTTTAGGCTGTGCTCTGGCTGGATGGGCTGCACTGTCTCCCTGGTGGTGGCCAATGCCTGCCCTCAGATGGAGCTGCTGAAAGGAGAGGCTGCATTGCAGATCTCAGATTTTATGAAGTGTCTCAACCCTTCTGCTGGACTGGGAACTGGCAGCAGACCTGCTTGCAAAAGCTGTGCCCAGGTGGGGGACTGTTGCTTCACCAGTGATACAACCTGCAGTGCTCTGAGCATCAATCAAGAGGGATTACAGAGCTCTGGGAGTGGTGGTAAGGGAATCTGGAGTACAGGCACTTTTCTCCTCAGTCCTCCCAGTCAGAGGGCAAGGGTGTGAAAGGGACAGTCAAATGTGGTAAACCAGCAATGCTAGAGGACTGGCACCACAACCAGGGCTCAGCCACTTATACCATGGCACCAACTTTGAGAAAACTGAGCTACTGAGGGCTGATGGGGAACATTTGTCAGAGATGTGGAAGATCGCCTTTGGTTGTAGGCTTGCCAAGCTGGTGAAGAGGACTTTAAACTAAAGTTGTGGAGGGAGAGGAACCTCAACCCACTCCACCCTCACCAGTTTGCATGCCAGTGCCAGCAAGAGATGCTCAGAGCCTGAAAAGGAATCACAGGTTGGGCAGGAGAGCAGCAAAAAGGAATTCTTGCCTCTTCAGTGAGAAAATAATCTTGATCTAGAGCTCAACTTAAATGCCTGTATGCAAGTGCATATAGAGTGGGAAATAAGAGGAGCTAGTGATGTGTGCTATGACCTTATTGGCATCAATAAGACATGGTGGCTGGCTTTAATGACTGGTCCATTGGAATGGAATGATACAGGCTCTTTAGGAAGGACTGTCAAGGGAGACAAGGAGGGGATGCCATGCTCTGTGTCAGTGACCAGCTGCAGTTCATGGAGCTGACCAAGAGACACTAAGTTCTGTGGTGCAGTGCACATGCTGGAGGGAAGGAATGACATCCAGAGGGGCCTTGACAGACTGGAGAGCTGGGTTCATGTGAATCTCATCAAGCTGAACAAGGACAAGTGTGCAAGGTCCTGCATTCAAGCAGGGTCAATCCCAAGCACAAATAGAGGCTGGGCAAAGAATGGATCAAGACTAGTTGGAAAGAAGGACTTCTTGGGGATGGCGGATGAGAAGCTCAAGTTGACCTGGCAATGTGCAATCATAGCCCAGAAAGCCAACCACATCCTGGGCTGCATCAAAAAAGAGGTGACCAGCAGGTAAAGGGAGGGGATTTTTCTCATTTGCACTTGTGAGATCCCACTTAGTGTGCTGCATCCAGCTCTGGGCTGAACACAGGCTAAGAGTTGGGGATGTTCATCCTGGGGAAGAGAAGGCTCTGGGGAGACCCTAGAACACCTTCCAGAATCTAATGGGAGCCTACAGACGACTGCAGAGACACTGTTTACAAGGACATGTAGTGACAGCATAAGGAGGTATGGATTCAAACTGTAAGAAGGTAGGTTTCCATTAGACATTACAAAGAAATTCTTTACTGTGATAGTGGTGAGACGCTGGAATAGGTTGTCCAGAAAATCTGTGGATACCCCATCCCTGGAAATGTTCAAGGCCAAGCTGGATGCAACCTTTGTGCTACCTGGTATACTGAAAGGCATCCCTTCTCATGGTAGAGGGGTGAATAAGATCATCTTTAATGTCCCTTCCAAGACAAATAATGTAATGCTTCTATGAAATAACTGCCCTTCTGATTTTTGCTTCATTTTACTTTGAAATTTCACTTTTCCAATCCCTGGGTAGAATTTGTCTCCCCTCTTAAGCAGGACTTACTTGATCTGCCTTTTGTCAGTAAGTGTTACATAGTCCATGTAAAACTTTATAAAATAAAACCAAATTTGAAGATGGATATGCCAACTGGCTTAATGGAATGACAGGAAATGATCCAAAGATTTTTATTGTGTATTTTAAATTATGCGAATTTTCAACTAAAATAAAATATAGATAGGTGTGAAAAGGAGGAAGTAAGGAGCATAAACGTTCATAAAGAATACTTTTAGCATCCTAAAATCAGGTCAAACAAAAATATGGAAAGTATAGAAGCAGATAAACAGCAAAGAGTGCACAAAGTCTTTAATCATCTTGAACATTCTAAATTCTGAAAGAAAAAGAGTTTATTTGAGATATAAAAGTACAAACTTCAAATAAATGCTTCAAAACACTGGATTTTTAATACTATTTTATTTTTTAATACTCTCTCTCAGCCTATTTTACCTATTTTCTTCTTAAAACAAGGGATACTCTTAAGACCTAGAAGTTGCAGGGGAGGTACAATCAACTACCACGTGTGGATAAAGATCAGTTGAGAGAACCCACACAAGTTCCTATGAGCAAAATAAATCTGGTAGAGTATGAGTGGAAATTAATTTTTCCCCCCATGGGTCTTGTACTAGCCTGCACAGCTGTGTATTTTACTGTTTCAATTCTCTATCCTCTAAGCAGTTACATATAAAAAATGACTCAATAGAAAGTGTAGCTATTGGTAACTAAACTCATAAGAATTCATAGAATACATTAGTCTATTCTCAGCATTCAGAGCTCTGGGCTTGACTACTTTTAAGAGTGATACCACAGAGGTCAAAATATGCAGAGTTGCGTTAATAAATTATTACAAAGATAATATATTTCATACATGTGTTTCCATCAGGAGCTGATGAGTCTAAATATTACACAGTATCACTGAAGCATTCAAATAACATTTATGAAAAAAATACAACAAAAAATATATTAAGGCAACTAGCACACTTTGATGAAACAGAAACTATTTATAATAGCCAGGATAAGGAAAAAACCCATAACAAATAAACCACAAAAATTATTTTTTCAGAAAAGTATCTTTTTTTTTTTTGTTTTTTTTTTTTTTGTTTTTTTTTTTTTTTTTTTTTTTTTTTTGTTTTGTTTTGGTTTGGTTTTTTTTCTGCATTAAATATGTGCTAATCAGCAGTCCTAGCACTTTGGCCATTTTAGAAAACACATGGTTGACAGACACTTAAGAAAATTAAAGAAAGCAGTGTATCTGAAAGAATTTTACATTTACACCTTCTAGGTACTGTCCATTTGTTCACTTTGTAGGCTGTTAATTCCATGAGTCTTTTGAATTTTGCAGAACTGAACTTTATTCAGAAATATTGTAATTATTTCACCACTCAATTATTTTAATCAGAAGTATTAAACAGATTGATTTGTAAAATGAACATGGCAATCTAGAAATTATGCACATGCTCTCCATTAGCAGAGCCTCTAGCACAGTTATAAATCTTATTTGGTAACTGAGGCAATTCAATTCTACAGTTTTGTTTTGGACCTACAGCAATATGCTGGATAAGGGTTTGAGATAAACTACTAAATCCTAAATGAAAAAAAAAAAAAATTACTTAACCACAGTTTTAAAATTATCATGTTTTGCATTCTTTCATTTTATTTTTTTTTTTTATTTTACCTGGAGCCAAATATTTTATTAACTATATAAAGTGGATCAGTTTTAGCTATATCCCAAAGTCCTCACTGAGGAAGAAGGATTTATAGGTTCCTGCTTCAAAACAGTATGAGATGGGATTTGAAAACCTACTTGCTATATGAAAATAGTTGCTAGCTGGCTATTGGGAAACAGTGTCTAGCCAGAGACTAAAATGACTGGTTCCTACCTGTTGCTTCTGCTATGCTTTTTTTGGTAGTCATGATTTCAGGAGGCTTAAAACACTGGATCCAACCAGTGAGATAGGCAGGAGAAAGTCTTGCTGAAAATGCCCCTAGGGTTAGGTGTGAGCCTGGGATTTGAGCGTCTTGCACAAGCAGGACCTAAGCAGTCCTGACATGCCTGCTGGCAGAAACTCTGCGGATTTAAAACATCACTAGGGCAACTACAGGGTAACAGCAGATAAGTAGGGGGTTTAAGGATCTTAAAAGCAGATAAAAGCTGCTGAAAGAGAATCAAAATTAAAAACCCATATGTGGAAGGTAATTTTTAAAATGGGACTTAGGAGTTTTTAAAACTATCATCCTGATATTATATATAAACTAAATTAAAAAATACAGCATAAATGGAATTATATTTCTTCTGTTCTACATTATCATAAAAACTATTTTTTAACAGATTAAATGCTCAATTTTATAATCTTTTACAGCAGCTTCATCTTTTACAGCAAGGAAACTCCATCTGCATAAAGCTAATGTAATAGAACAGAAAATCAAGCTCTTGGTCTACTTTTCTCTGGTCTCTACTTCACATTCCTAAAAAATTAGGGAGATGCAGGAGCAGACACAAAGACCGAACAATATGAAATCTCCAAACTTTTGGTCTAAGCCAGTCAGAATGCTCCCATTTCACTGAGTAGCAACATTACAAAGTCTAAGTAGTCTGTCTTGATGTAGCAAAATCAACAACTTTTCACCTATTACCAGTTAACCCATTCTAGCACATAGCATTCTAGCACAAGTACACTATTAAGGATATAAATAGACACGCTTTACTTTGCTAAAGCAGTGCCACAGCTTTAATACCTTGAAGAGCTTAACTTTCAAGACAAGAGGTTTACTAATTCTTATAAATATCCTCTAAAATAAAATTTTAAAAAATGTATAACCGTTTTCAACTATGTTGACAGCAGTACCATGTCCCCTGCAGTTATTTCAGAGTCCTGACTGTGTGTAGAGCTGATTCCAGTGTCAGAGTCTGTATCATTTATGTCCAGATTAGTCACTCTATGAACAAAGTCTGGAACAGCAATGCTGGTACTGGAGATGCCACTGCCCTTAGCTGGCTCTTCATTTGATTGAAGCCTAGTTTCAATGTTGTCCTTAACATGTAGTAAATTAAATTCTTCTGTAAGAAGTTCATATTCTTTTTCCTTCTTTTGAAGCAGTGAGTCCCTGTATGTAAGTTCTTTCTGGATGCAGCTCAGGTATGAGTTGATTCTCAGACCATCTTTCATACTTTTTTCCAGCTCATATTTTACACTTTCCAAATCTGAGGTTTCCAGTTCAGCATTAGCGGCTCCTTCTGTGCGAACAGACTCTCCGTTTTTTCCCATGCAAATACCGTGTACTTCTCTTTCAATTTCAGCACACAAGTTCTCTATTAATTGTTTGTGATGTTTCAGTCTCTCTTCAACCTGTAAAATTCCCTCACTTTTGCTCAAGTAGTCATGCATCTCTTTTTGATCATCTGGCCTACTCCCTTGATGCTCAGCCTCACTTGTACCAATCATTAAGTAGGAGTCCTGCACATAATTTTCTCCATCATTTGCCACACGATCTAGATGGAATTTTGCTTCACATTTTTCAATTTCCATATCTAGTTCCTTCATTCTAAGGACTTGTTGATGAATGGTATGATCTTGAGAAATGATCAGATGAATCAGTGTCTCCATATTATCTCTCTCTTGCTGAACACTGTCCTGCTTAAGCTTGGCCAGTTTCCGGAAAGTCTTCCTCACAATTTTCTTTTGCTTGTCTATTGGCAACATCTTCATGTAGTTTGCTGGACTGAGGTCCCACTGTTTTTCTACATTTTGTACTACCTTGGCTTCAGCTGTCTTCCACAATGGAAATGAGAGGAAAGCATCTGACTTTACCAATACAAAATGCAAATTAGCCTGCTCTTCCCCCCAGGCCTTCCAAAGTCTCAGAATTTTTGTCAAGGGAGGCAGTACTCTCTCCGAGCCTCTCCATTTTTCTACAATGCAGTAATCACTAGGTTTGCCAAAAAGGACCTTCTTCTCTCCAAATGTTGTCTGATGTTCCTCAAGCAGTGCTTGAATCACTTCTGAGCAAGTTGTGCGCTTTGTCAGACCACATACAATCTTCTCCTCCTGGCAAACCCAAACCACAATCTCTCTTTCATTTGAAGCCATGTCCTTGCTGGGAGATCTGGAAAACAAGAAGAGACCAAGTATAAATTACATATCAATGGCAGAGACAGTATGAATAATTACTATAATTCTGATATGAATAACACATTTTAAAACTGCTGTATTGCTGTACAAGACAATATACTTGCTTAAATTGCATGAAGAAATATCTTTGGATTAAGTAACAGCTTTAATTTACTATTGCTTTGATATTATTACTAGTCCAGCTGAATGAGAATCTCACAAAATGTCCTTTATCAAATCTTGGTTTTCTAGACATAGTAAGAGTTATTAAAGTTTGGCAATCTGCATTACACTTTCAGACTGACCTAGGACAGCATAGCATTTGGATCTTCATGTTTGTTCTCATTACAAAGACTGCACAGACATTTCTAAGCTATTAGAAATGGCTTCTGAAGGGGAGAATACACTGAACATAGATGGACTGAGGAAAGATGACCGAACAGCACCAATGAATCTGACAACAGGATAAATCTATAGCTCTTCTGCCACAACTGCGCCCACACAAGCATAAAACCAATTATTTTCCTTTCTTTTCCACTAATAAATGTCAATAAATTTGTTGCTCTTCCTGAAGTACCGAATAGCCTGAAGTCCTGTGAGTTGTAAGAGAATACCTGCTACAAGAGAATACACACATGAATCTGATTTTTTTTTTTTGTTATTTAAACTGATACAGAAATGCAAGACAAGGCAAAAAAACCTATTTAATCATTTATTTACTTGTTTGTTTATGAATTGCAATGAATGTGCTATTAACCTGGTACCTCCTTATACACTGAGATACCTAACTCCAGGTATCTGAGATCCCATTATGCTCCTGTAGCTCCAGTACAATCACTAGTGCCTAGACAGCAATTCAGTAGACCAAAGGTTGAAGTTGACTTTACAGCTAATTTTTCAGTTTGCCCCCATCTGGTCCTGGACTGCTGTAGGCTTGTGTTGGCAGAATTGCCTGTATATTCCTGTCTTCAAGAGTCCACTTGAATATTATTTAATATATAGTTTTATTATTGCCCAGACCTGATGATTTGACCTCTTGCACAAAATGATAAAACAGTAAATTCCCTGAGGAAAAAATGTCTTTGGATTTTCAAGTATCTCTTACAGTTAATTTGAATTAATGAGATTAACCTGGTCTGAGAGAGAAAGCTTGAAAAGGAAAATAAGTATTCAGACCATATTCAAAGAGTGAAATAGAGCATTTGTTTTCATCTAGGATTACTTATCACAGAACTTTTTTAGACTTCTGAGTTGTAGTAAGCATGGAGTTTTATTTGTCTTAATTACTGTTACACCCTATGATTAGTAAAGCAATCCAGCTTGTCCTTTTTCCTTAATTATTACACAACATGACAGGCACACTGCAATCCAATAAATTGAACTGTGATTGACTCAGCTCTAGGAGCCACTCTGACCAGGAGGTAAAAATCCTTAAACAAAAGGAAACTGCAAATGAATACTAATAAAACTGACAAGTGTGAGTTTATTTGTATTATTGCAAAGGAGAGCTCTGTCCAACTACATTGCTTCAGGTCTTGGAACATTCTCTGTAAAATGTGTGTTTTGGTAGATGACTCTGAGTAATAGCATCATTTTCCCTCTCCAATAGCTCCTGCCCACAGATCAGCATTTTACAGTAATTATTTTTTGAAACTGGTGCTCAAAAAGTTAATAGTGTTTTCATAGACTACTTCTCAAGATAAGAAAGCACATATCACAAACAGAGAAAATGGCAAAGTGGCACAAAGAAAGAGTTATATTCAAGCTTAAGTGGTGAGGAAGGAATGGAGGATGATATTAGATTAAATGGCATTGTGGTGAAGTATATCACACACTGAAAAATCAGAATCTGTAAGTCCTCTGAGATTTACAATATGCAGGATACTACATTTTTTTCTGTTAACATATTGGCAGTTAGTGAAATTCAGGTAAATAGCCAGTTGCAACATAAGTCAGCTGTGACTAAAAATAACTCAGTATTTGCTTTACACTACAGATATGAAAAGAAAAAAAAACAACAAATAATTTATTATGCTTAATATGTTTGATTGGCATATTTTCTCCTAGTTAATATTTTAAGTACGTAATTGATTATGTGGATTAAGCAGAAACCTATTGTAAAGTCTGACTTTAAAGTTTTCTCATAAAGCTGGTTTGTCTCTGGGCAATAGCAAATCTTCAGATCTAGAACCTCTAGACGTACCATCATTATTGTACTGAAAAATACTTTCACTGTACTTTCTTATACAGAATTCCCACAGAGTTCAGCAGGACTTAAACAAACTTCTGATGGAAACATACTGTATATTGTAAAGCAATCTCTACAGGACCCCTGAAAACAATATGGATGTAAAAATAACATCTTAAAATTACTGTTTTCAAATTTTCTAGCTGATTATTGCCCCCTGTAACTTTTTCAGTTATTATTCATCTGTCTTTCCAGACTTTACATTCAGCTTTCTTGAGGAAATATTGTTCTTTATTTTGTCTATAAATTATAACTTAGTAACACAATTGGATAATGTATGCACATGCAGGTACGCAAAGAAATCAAGTAGCTTATACATGAAAAAAAGAACTTATATATGTATATAAGGTGTATACCAACATCTTTTAATTATATTGTCATATTTTACAGAAAATGAGAGAAGAAATTAAAAGAATTTATGAACATCTCTGTATTTTTTGTATCAAAGCTACATGGTAAAGTACAATTCCTTTCTTTAATTTTTCTATGTGTTTGCCCCAACATATATTATCTTAATTTTTATTCCATCACTCCACTTAATTTTGGATCTTTACTTCTAAGCAAAAAGAATTGGACAGACATTTATAATCATACATTGTCATGGAATTCTAATATATTCTAAAATATCAAAAGTAGTTTTTTATTATCTTCCACTCAAAATGGTAAATTGGAACCTTACCATGGACCTTTTAAGTTAAATGTATTGTATAAGTCTTTCTTAATAGTTAATTCAGGTAGTTACAAACAAAAATGAAGCATTATTGTGTCAGTCACAGAATAACAATTACTAAAAATTTGCTTTCAGGACGCAAGAAGATGCCAGTACTAGGAAATATCTTTTGTTAAACTGCATTTCTCATAGAAAGTGAAGAGCAGATTCTGCATTTATGAAGTGGAATTGATCTGAAAGTTAAGATTTCAGTATCTTAAAAGTTCCTCCTCATTAAGAGAAGAGAGAAAACTTCCAAGAAGAATCCCTACTGCCTAGTCCATCTTTGATCATTGAGAATAATTTTCAGAGGAAGCTATTTCTCTCTTTCATTAACTAAAAGGCCACCTTCAATCAAATAGCTCACTTTCAGCTAGCTGAAATCAGGTGAGATTAATCTCACCAGATTCATTTAGGTGAGATTAATACAGATTCTGGTTTATCTGAGAGAAATGTAACAAGAATGGTTGCAGCAGCAGTTGATTTCGTACAGACAACTAAATATGGGACCTAGACATCATAACTTTACAATTTATTTATTTATTTATTTATTTATAAAGGAAATCCATTAATTCATTTCAATACTAAGAAAGAGATTTTGAATAATTTTTGGTAATTGACAGGAATTCTTTTATTTTTTTTCCTTAGCTGCAACACTAAAAGTTAAAATCTTCAGGAACAAGATCTGCTTTTAAACAGACACTTTAACAGAAAGGCAACCTTCTCATATTTACAGGTTCCTTGAATTTCCTGTCCTGCAGTTTTGTAAAAGACACAAAAGAACTAGCATTTTTAATAAAATAGCAGTTAATAGGAGTGTAGCAGCCAATGTGTTTTTCCAGTTTAAATGTTTGAGTTTCCTGATGACCACAATAACAATTTCATCAAAACTAGCTAGGCAACTTATTTTTTTTTAAATATAATGCTGCAGGTTTTGAAGCTTTCAGTTCTGTTTTGAAGTCTGTCTTTGAATTGAACACTGAAGTGTTCTACTTATACATCTAAGATTATAAAATCTTGATGATAATGACATGCAAATCTATATTAATTTTACAAAACCATTAATTACCTAGACCAGATGGGAATTTAAACTTAATAATGGTCAAAAGTATGTTTCCCATCTTTTTGTTTGCTTGGTTTGATTGCTTTTTTCATGTCTTCTGGTCCTGTTTCTCTTCAAGAGGACCCAAAACTCCATCCCAATTCATGCTCTAGACCTCACACAGTCTTAATTACACCAGCACAAACTGAGTGTTGTGTGTCAGATATACAATTTGTTAATTTATTCTTCAGGCCTAGGGGAAGGTAATACATTCCAGCACTGTGCAGACAAAACAAAACCATTTACTTATGTCACACAAAGTCAAAATATGAGATAGCTTAAATGCTGGAAAGTGCACTTTTGATATTCACTACCTTTAAGGTATGACTGGCCCAAAAATAGACAAACGTAATTGTTTGCCTTCCTGAAACTGTTGCCCTAAATATACAATATATCAGTTTTACAACCAATCATGGCAATTAAATAAAGGCATCTCCCTACATTTTAGAATTTCACCTTCATGTGTACAAGATGCTTATTTTTCTAGACTATTTTCTGCAAACATTCTATTGGAACTAGATCATTTCCATATCATATTGTTAGCAACTTAATGCAGTGTTTCTGAAATATAATGGACACTTAAAGAATACTTTGCCTTTGTTGAAAAAAAGCACAGATAAAGTTTGTCTCCCTTCACTGCAATAAATTATTTCTAGGCTTTCCCCCCCAAAAAAAGAAATTAACTCCTTTTTTAGTATTACTATATTTCTTGACACGCCCTCTGTGAATATAAATCAAACTGATTAACTGATTTTTAAATACTTAAGGAAGGAATTCAAACCTGAGAGTATGTTTATGACCAAAAATTTTACTAGTTGCCTCTTCCCAGTCATTGAAATAATTTATATGGAATACATGTCAGTTGATGAAAATATATCACAGACCAAGCAATACATTAACCTTTTCTGTGAAAATGCATAGAACTCCTAATCATTT